ATGTGAAATAAAAAGCTTTTGTAACATTATACACTATACCATTCAAAGCTTAGAGTCAGTATAATTTTTATTTTTTTGGAGAAGACATTATAGAAATGAACACTTTTATTTAGCAAGGATGCTTTAAATTGATCAAAAGTAATGATAAAGACATTTATAATGTTACAAAATATTTCTATTTCAGATAAATGCTGTTCTTCTGAACTTTCTATTCATCAAATAAACCTGAAATTCCACTCAGCTGTTTTCAACATGATGATAATAATAAAATGTTTTTTGAGCAGCAAATCAGAATGATTTCTGAAGGATCGTGTGACTGGAGTAATTATGCAAAAAAATTAGCTTTGAAATCACAATAAATTACATTTTAAAATATATTCAAATAGAAAATAGTTATTTTAAATAGCCTAGTAAAAATATTTCAGAATTTTACTGTTTTGCTGTACTTTGGATCGAATAAATGCAGGTTTGGTGAACAGAAGAGACTTCTTTAAAAAACATTCAAAATCTTACTGTTCAAAAACTTTTGACTGGTGTAAAGGCAACTTTAATTGTTCTCTAATTTCTAGCTTTTAATTGACTTAGAAATCAGATAACTGCTGGACGATAACCAATAATAATGATTTTTTTATATACTACAGACACTTTTTTTTATCACATAAGGCAGAATAGTTTCTATACTGTAATAAATCCTATGTCAATTAGCATTGTATTGTTCATATACATTATTTATTACCTGGAGATGACTTAACAAACACAAATAAACCATATATTGTCGCAATCGTATGTTTAACGTCTTCATGTTTCCAAACATTTCTGTTTTCTGTGAAAACAGCTGTTTTCATACGGCGATAGCTGGACGCTTTTGTCCATATTAGGAATTTCCTCGTACAACTTTCTGAGCAAGAGCGCCCTCCGTCTTCGAGTATGAATGAAACATACACTGCACGAGTGTTTAGCGCCCCGCGATGTTCATCTCGCCATATTCTGGGTCCGAATAAAACATCAGATCATGCACAGACTATCATGTCTCTTTGAATTCAAATCTATATTTATTCACACCGGCTCTTGAAAACCTCTATGCAAACACACTTGCCCGAAAAAGTGCGGGGGACGAATTTACGTGATATTAAAAGTGGGGGGGGGGGGACACATCCCCCGCATTATCTACGCCCCTGGGTACACGTAACTGTCCAAAGTCCTCTTCGCATCTTTTCCAAGGTAAATGCTGAAAGATATTGACATTGATTAGTGGCCATGACCTTGATGGCAAACAAACACATTCTCAGAAGCTGTTGGCTTGCTGTAGTGAGGGCACAAATCTCACCCAGTCCACGCTTAGTCGTACATATTTGAACAGTTTGGCCTGTTCTATCTCCCACAGATCCACACACACTGTTTGATTGCTGGGATGATCTGAAAGTCTCTTTATTGCTGCATGTAAGCATTTGTTATAAACTGTAATGTTGATCTAAAAAAAATGTTGTTAAACTAATGTTCTGATGAAATTAATATTAATGATCCATTAAATTAAGCTTTAATAATAAAGTATTCAACAGTTGAATGACGGAAGGGAATTAAACAAAATAATTTCCATTACCTGACTTACATACAACTTGTGATTAAAAAAAGAGTGTCAAAATAAAACAGTATCAGTGCATAGATTCAGGCAAATTTATGTCATCAAAAAGTGGTCATATCATGAAAAGTCCAATTTCACTTGCCAAAATAACCATCTGTAACTATAACTATCTATAATAAGTTACAATGAGGTAATAGAGAGCAAACATATACTATTATTCCTAAACACCACAAGAAGATGATAATATTATGCTAGCTGACATATAACAATAAAAAATATATGGCAAAGGTTTGCTAAAATTGTGCTGTTTCTGGATCAGATTTTTTTTTTAAGTGTCTCACATTTAAGTAATAATTTATCATGTGCATGTCCGTGATTCTGATATTGAAAGATAATCCCAGAATGCATTGCTATGACCTTAGTGTAAATTTTTTATATATATATTTCTGAAGATTCTGAAAAGCTGCCAATAATTTGGTCAAGTCCATTTTTGGAGATCTGTGTAGAAAGTCTTAGATTTAGCCAGGGGCAGACTTACCCATTAGGCAAAGGTAGGCGACCGCCTTGGGCCCCCAAAAGCCAAGGGCCCCCTAAAATGCTTTTCATATAGGATATGCGCATTAAGCGCGGACACGCGAACGTTTGCAGTTTACAGTGTTTATTACCACGACAACCGTCCGAGTCTGTGGCGCCTGCAGGTGTACGGCTGTACGCACTGTGAGTACCATGAGCGCTCAGACTGATCTGAGATTTGCCCCGGAAACATTTCGACTGAACCCATACCGTTAATTATGAATTTATCAGTCTTTTCAGCATAGAAATATTACGTCAATATCTGCATAGAAATATTACGCCAAATAGAAGCAGAAAATCGTGCTATACGCACTTTCATGAGATCGGCTTAGCGTACAACAATTAATTTGTTGGCTATTTTACAAATGGGAATACAATGAATTCATGACAATGTTTACATTCCAGCTACCCGTAAAATTTATAGTGAAAAGTACTTTAAAAAACAGCTTTGAAATTACTCTATTGCATTCTAGACGCTTTTAAAGCATTTGCTGCATGGATAAAAAATTGAAATAATTAACATATCATACAGAATTGCGTTGCAGCAAATCCTTTAAATTTTGAAAACAACAAAATGGAACCTCAAGGTTGATCTAGGAAAATGTGTGCAAATGTATAGGGCCCCAATCCTATATTTTGCCTGGGGCCCCCAATTCACTAAATCCGCCCCTGGATTTAGCTTTTCCTCTGCTTTTTTGTGTTGTTCCAATGCAAACAATTTGTAATTGCAACAAGTTTCAGGGAGAAGTAGTACATTTATTATCTGACAGAAATGCAGGGATGCCAATATTTTGTCCCTTTTTTATGTTTATATTTTTTTCCTGTGTATATATGACTCAGCTGTAATCTTGTATCCCACAGAGGGACCAAGGCATATGCCTATGAGGAAAAAGCCACAAAAGAGTAAGTCCATGTAAACGCAATGGTCAATGCTTCTATCAGAGTGTTGACATTGCTATGTTTACCCCTGGTTATTTGCTATAGTTCCATTGTTTATTTTTTGTATCTACTACAGATAATTAGTCCTAACAGACAGCGTATATAATAAAGTCCAGCTGGCTTAATGTGTCAAATTTGAGCAAAATGCATTTGCCAAGCAGTAGAGAATGCAGCAGTGTAGTATTCTCAATCAGAGGTGGACAGAAGTGAAGTATTTTTACTTCACTCAAGTAAATTTAGTGAAGTAAAATAAATTTACATAAATAAATTTCATAAATAAAAGTTGTTTTAATACCTTTAATACTTAAGCACATTAAAAATGTGGTACTTTCTTGTACTCAAGTAAATATTTGAATTATTTTACTTGAGTAAAAGTAAGAAAGTAATAGATTTCTAATGTAATTAAGCATTAAACAATATTTAATATGAATGTAGTGCAGTAAAAAGTACAATATTATGCTTTGGAATGTTGTGAAGTAACGCTTTCTAAAGGAAAACTCTCCGATAAAGTACTGACACTTGAAAATTACTTTTACAGCTGAGTAAAAATACTTCACTGTCCGCCTCTGTTCTTAAGTTCGGTTCCATGGTACAAGTTAAACCTGGTTCAACTTGTAATTAGTGATAAACAACACTTGTCATCCTTGCAGGTCTGGTCACTACTGACGTCTTCAGAGTTGTGTGTATTTTGGTCCTACTCTAAGAAGTATGTGAAACATGTTTTTGATGTTCACAGATTGCTCCAACCACACTCGTCTAGAGGCTTTCCCCATCAGGAGTGTAGTAAGAGAAAGAGTGAGAAAGGTTAGACAGTCATAAAATAAATGCATAGTGTAGACAGTATGCAAAGTATAATATATGATTTGGAAACTTGCTTGTGTGTTGGCAATGCATACAATACATACTGTAACTGTTAGGTAGATACTTTTTTATGTGTTTAGTCTTTTTGAATTACAGATTAGGAAGGCGCTTGTACTGAAAAAAAAATCATGATCACATGCTGTAAATACCAACAATGACCCACTGTATATTGTATCAGTGAAACTCAATGCCTGTAACCAAACATAATAGCCTTATGCTAAGAATGGAATGAGTGTGTGTGTGTGTGTGTGTGTGTGCGTGTTTTAACCCTCAATCATCCCTCATTTCCTGTTTACACTTAAGTCCCTTGGGGTCAATATGACCCCAAACATTGAAAGAGTAATTGTGAAAAATATATAAATTTTTTATCATACAAATAATATATAATTTTCTTTGTTTACTTCTCATCTATACATCAATGCTGTGTTTTGGGAGATATTAAGTACTTTTGTACCTTTGTATAATTCACTTTTGTATTATTCCTCAACTACACCATTAGCTTGCATGTGAAATATTCATTTTTTATGAAAAAATCAATTAAATTTAATTTAAATTGCTTCTGGATATTGATCTAGGTGTTAGGTGTAGAATTCTGCCATCTGCTGGTTTGAAATAAACCTAAACGGATTACAGTTTAGGAAAGAAATTGTTTTGTAGAGAGCCATTCATTTTACTGGATGTGGCCAACTGCTTCTATCACAACTTTTGTGATACATTTTGTGAATGTATGTATATATAAACATTAGAAAAGACATTAAAAATAAATATTCTTTCAAATGGTATAATTTTTTTGTGGTTTTTGATGCATTTTGAAATGTCTGTTTGGCAATGTCACAGAAATTTGACAGAAAAATGCCACATAAGACACACCTAAAGGACAAGACTTAGAGTCCGATTGTAGTTGCATATTATTGATTTTAATGAACCAAGTGTAAACAATTTTTTAAATAAAATAACTTGTGGAAGAAATTAAAAATGTAAATAAAACCAACATCAATATGCAGAAGTGTGTGCATGTGCATGCATTAGGTCTATCTCAAACGTGTTCTGCATTTGTGGCTGATTTCATTTGCCAAATTTGAT